GTTGATGAAACAACTCCGTGTCTTGATGGTGGTGGTGATTATGTAAATCTACTCATCTGATAAAATTGCATAGAACTACACACCCACTAAAGTGCATGTGAAACTGTTGAAATCTGAGTAGGTCTGTGATTTACACCAATGCTATTTTTCTGGTTTTGATGTTTTACTACAGTTATGTAAGATGTTACCATTGTGGGAAACTGGGTGAAGGGTACAATGAGACCTCTCTGTACTATTTTTACTTCCTGTGGATCTATAATCACTTAAAAATAAATCATTATGATAATGCAAATCAAAATAACAATGAGATATCATCCTACACCAAGCATGTCAAACTCGAGGCTGGTGGGCCGAATGCCTAAGATGAGGGCGTAGCCTAAAACAAGGCATGCAGCCACGGGCCGTGAGTCTGACATGCTTGCTCCACACTCTTAAGATGGCCACTGTAAAAAAAATAAAAATCAGAAAGTAGACACTGGCCAGGTAGCTCAGTTGGTTAGAGCAAGGTCAGGACACACACAAGACTCCAATGAATGCATAAATAAGTGAAACAACACATTGATGTTTCTTTCTCTCTCCCTGCCCCCTTTCTTCTCTCTCTCTAAAATCAATTAAAAAAATTTAATATTTAAAAAAAACAGAAAGTAACAAATGTTGGTGAGGATGTGGAGAACTGGAACACTCTGTGCATTGCTGTTGGCTATGTAAAACAGTATGGAGGCTCCTAAAAGACTGAAAATAGAATTAATCCCACTTCTGAGTTTATATCCAAAAGAATGGAAAGCAGAATCTGAAAGAGATATTTGCACACCCATGTTCATTGCAACATTTGACAATAGCCAAGAGTGGAAACAACCCAAATATCCATAGACAGATGAATAGATAACACAACATGTCATACACACACACACACACACATGCAATATTAGCCTTTAAAAAGAGGGAAATTTTGTCAAATGTATGGATGAACTTTGAAGATACTAGGCTAAGTGAAATAAGCCAGTCACAGAAAAAAAAATACTGTATGATTCCACTTATACAAAGTATTTAAAATACTTAAAATCACAAAAACAGAAAGTAGAATGGTGATGATCAGGGGCTGCGGGGAGGGATAAATGGGGAGTTGTGGTTTAGTGGTATAGAGTTTTAGTTTTACAAGATAAAAAAGTTCCAGGGATCAACAATGTGACTATAGTTAACACATACTGAACTGTACACATAAAACTGCTAAGATGATTAAGTTTTATATTGTATTTTTTACTACACTAAAAAAATTTTTAAGCTGAAGCAAAACAGCAAAATGTTAAGCCTTAATAAAATTGGGTGGTGGTTTTAAGGTGTTTGTTATATCTCCAACTTCCATTTATATATGTTTGTAATATTTCATAATAAAACATTTTTAAGTAGTGCTGGGAGCCAGTCCATCCTTGCTGCTTGACACAGTTGCTGCAGGGAAGAAACATCTGCACAGCATATGTTTCAAGGGACTTGGCGTATATGGCATACTGTTCTTAATATGTTTGCTCCCCTTCTTGCTATGTGTTTTAACCAAGGTCACCTCTCCGAGAAAGGTTGTTTCCCCAGGTAGGGATTTTTCCCTGAAGTTAGGGAGGGGATAAAACCCCTTAACTAAGTGCCAGGCGGGTAGTTAATCACTTTAACTACAAACAATCACACTTAAGCTACATAATCTTTACTCCCTGGAATGGAGATAAGAAACGCCCTAACCTTTGGAATAGAGATTGATAGGATTGGAATCAACTGGTATAAATACAGATGTAACAAGACAACAGGACACAGAACCTAGCGAGAGAACCTGGCTGAAGAACCTAGAGACAGAACCTGGATAGAACATGGCAAGAGAACCTGACTAGAACCTGGTGACTGAACCTGGCTGGAGAACCTGGACAGAACCTGGCTGGAGAACTTAGCAAGAGAACATGGACACAGAACTTCGCTGGAGATCCTGACCAGAACCTGGCTAGAGATCCTGACCAGAACTTGGCTGGAGATCCTGGCTAGAGATCCTGGCTAGGCTGCTGATCAACTGAACGCTGTCTCTGTGTCATTCTTTCTTCGCCGACTCCGTCCACAACTTTTGGGACCCCTGGACCTGCTGGGGTTGGACCCCAACAAAGTAGCTACTTTTAAATGGACAGATTCCTATAATTTTGAGACCCAGTATAATGACAATACAGAATTTTGCTCTGTTTTCATTTTGGGCATTCAAAATTAAAGTTTCTAATTCACTGGTAATAAATTAGGAATTAGTATCATAATTCTGTTGAGATAAATAGACAAATGAGGAAATGGCAAACCACAAACTAACTCCATATATTAAATATCAACTGATAATGTCAAGACAATTGGGAATTTTAACTAGAACCACATTTTTCTCAGATTTTTATTTAAAAACATCTAGTCAAGTAAAGCCATTCAGAATCTCAGAACCAATTCCTTTGTTCCTTTCTAAGGAACTGCCTAGGCAAAAACTACTTGCCAATTGAGATTAAGTACTGTCTTTTTGTTTTGTTCTTTAGGACCTAAGGCTGTCATAAACTTGTGTGTCTTTTTCCAGTTGAATAAAAGGGGAAATTGTACTTCACTGAACAAACATTTGAGCACAGTGCCAAATATTGTGCAAGATTACCAAAGTCCTGATCTTTGTGTTCTAGTCTTTAATTTGTTACCAGAAATGATATTTATCACCAGAAATGATATTACTAAAAGTTTCATTTTTTAAACATGCCACAAAAAATTGCCCTTGGACAGCACATGCCTTCCTTCTGAAAACATTTCTGTTCTGTTGAGGTTACCAAATGACCCACTTTGGCAAAATATCAAAGCAGGCAGCTGTATGACTAACTTCTGGCCAAGGCTAGAACTCCCAGCAAAATCATCGTTACCCACCGTGACTCTCCGCTCCAGGCCACGCCCTGAGTCAACAAGCATGACTCAGGAGAAGCTGCGAGCTGGTGAGACAAGCTGACTCACTGCTGGGTTTGCAAACATGAAAATTCATACTTTGTAACATAAACATTTTATCAACTACCTCCTGGCCCAACATTATCTTACAGACATTTTATTCCTATCTCTCGGTTATTAAAATAAGTAGCCCTAACCAAGAGTTAGTGAATTTAAAGTGTCTAATTTATAGTGTAAACTCCTATACCTGTCCATAGTATTGACCTCGTTTCCTAAGGTTGTGCTTAGAAATGTTGTGCTCGAACGACCTTTTCTAAGGGACACCCCGCTAATGGTGTTCATGCGAATCTTTAAACGACGCCTCACCTGGGAAGGTCGGTACCGCAGGACCCTCTGCAGGTGTA